ATAGGTGCAACGTAATGCGTCTGGATAGGCATGTAGTTGTGTGACCGATGTAATTATTTATGTGTTCGGTTTAGTCAAGAACACAGTTCCTTAAAGAGCAATTGAATTCATAAATAATGTTCGTTCTTTGTAATTTTGATTTTGTAGGTGTGTTGTTATTTTTGAGGATAAGGTTAGCTGTTTTATAATTTTTGTAAAGATAATTAATTTGATTTTTTTGTTCGGGTCAATTTAGTTAGTGTATTTTTTTATAATATTTCTAAGTGAAGATTCATCTTGCTTGTAGTTGATGTGCATTTGGTTTTTGTAGAAAATATTTATGCTATTTTTGTTCACCATCGTTATTATTTACGTTGGAAAGAAATAGTCTAATCTGGTGGTCGATGAGGTGGTTAGGAAAACCATTGTTAACTAGCTTTGCATTGTTGAGTTCGTTAAGGAAAAGTAGACGAAAGGGTATATTCTCGTGTTCTGTCTTTAGGAAGTTTTCATCACTGCTATCTATCTCTCTCTCTCTCTCTCTCTCTCTATATATATATATATATATATATATATATATATATATATAGAGAGAGAGAGAGAGAGAGAGATAGAAGACAGGCAGAAAGAGGAGCGAGAGAATGAACTGGCTGAGATAGACATATATGAACAGTGATATAGACAAGCAGACAGGTAGACAAATATAAATAGACTCTAATAGATATAAACAGACTGAGATAGATAGATAGATAGATAGATAGATCACTCAAAGAAAGTAGACATAGTTTTAAAGCTGATCTAACTACCAAGTGGGCACACAAACATGCGCACACACACACACATACACACACACAAGCGCATACACACACAAACACGCGCGCTCACTTACCCACACAAGCACATACACACACACATTTTGTTTTTCCTCTGTTTCCCCCGCTGTGAGTCATCGCTGACCATAAAATTCATCTAAATTCGCTGCTGCTTTCAAAATCCTTTGACCGCAAATATATTTGTTCAGATGCAAAAGGCGTTTGACAAAGTCCGTCACAAAGAACTTTTAGAACCGCTAAGTCAGCTTGATTTATTTCAGATAAAAAATGCGCTGAATAAACGATGATGATGATGATGATGATTAACGTTCTGCAAAGAACGTTCTTAAATTATTAGTGAATATAGACTCAGACTACGTCAAAGGTCCAATGGATGCACCTTCAAATATTTTGATGGCCAGAGTCTTGCAACTGTTATTTCCTCTGACTTAGCACACACACAGCAGAATAGGAAAAATGGTTTGTAACATTCAATACCTCCATAACCAAGTCAGTAAAAATTTCATCATCGCCGACTAGTCAAGGACAGTTGCATTCTTAATGAAGTCCGTCGCCTTGAATATCTATTAGGTCTCAAGTTCACCCCAAATCGAAGCTCATATGTACGATCCATTAGTAAAGATGCTTGAAAAGTTGTACTGTCTCAGGATTTATTGATTGATTTGTATGTTTGACGCCATTCCAACACCTTATGGGTCATTTAATGCCAAAAATTGGAGAGTCCTGGGAGCTTTGAAGCAATAAAAATATGTCTTTCTGCTTTCACACTTGAATACATGGTAGATAATACTCAGCTTTTTACATATAATTGCTATAAGTATACAGATTAATGTCATGAGTTCTTTCATGATGGTTGTCTGGTGGTATTTTAAACAGAGTTGACTGAAGTAGCTACAATTTGTTAGTCTGTGTAGATTGTTAGTAATTTCTATAGAAAATTATTGCTTATTTACAATAAAAATGTATTTTTATAGTTTCATAGCGCTTTGCTTTAGTTTGGGAGGGTCTCTAATAGCTGCTACCACCCCGGACCAGGGTGCACCTGGGAACAACAGCAATTAAGAGGTGCTTCGACGGTCCTCAAAATCTCCACTCTCCCAATCAGAGCGATTGCTGCCAGATATAGTCTATCGTCACACTTAAGACTAAGAACTCATATATACAATCCATTGTTAAAGATTTTGGAAAATAGACGGCTCCTTCCAGAAAGTTTCTGATATCATTTACAATGCATAATATTTTCAAAAGTTAGATTATGTCAAATGTGGTGTATTGAAGCCATTGTATGAACTAGATCAGTTCAATCTTTATTTTTCAGTCTTTTACTACAGGCGGTGATATGTGCGTCTTATGGTGTAGTTTTGTCATATTTTATAACAGAATTTGATTTTAGAAATGGTAACTGCCTCTGGAAGTCTCTGACTCTTATTGACAGGCTCTATATTATCCAAAAGTCAGATCAGACGAAAAATGGTGTCTTGCTGCCATATCTCAGCTGGAGTTTCTCAATCCTCACTTTACAGTCTCGACTGTGTGCAAAAGCATTTACGTGGCCTTGTGTACGCGTGCATGGCAAACTAGTTTCCCACCCTACAGCCTCTTACCCCACAATATGAAACATCACTCGTTTCTCTCTTTATCGCTATTTTCACTGATAATTTTCTAACCAGTTCAATTCCTTAGTTCCACCAGTTCAGACCTTTACAGCTAAGACCCTCCACGCCGCATACACAGGATCGTATCATCTTCATTTTATTCGTATTCCATTAATAAGGAGGAAGTTCCCCCAGACAGCTTCTTCCCCAGAACTCCTACTTTGTAGAACAGAAGGGAATGCTTCTCTATCATTACGATCTTAACCTCTACATGTCTAGAGTCAACAGCTATCTATTCTACATATTCTCATAATCCGTACTTCTTACTTATTCAGTAACCCTATACTTGAAAGGCTCTTGGGCCTTCTATTAGATAAATTCTTGTTTCTCACAAAATCAACTTTTCTTTTATCTAGGTTTGTATTTTCAGACCCTTTCAGAGATTCGTTCTGCTCACAAACATTGAGCTATACCCATGAGGAGTGTCTCTAAATAGAAACTTTTTAATGTTAATACTAAAGCACTGCGGGACAGATTCAATTCTGTGTAACATTCTGACGATCAGAAGCAGCGCAGAAAGACATAAGCTAAAAATTGATCGGCAGGTCTGTCTCTTTCTTTCATCACAGCTGGAACGATTTGATGAGTACAAATCAATGGCTTCTCGTGACTCTGTGTCGTTATCGCCCTGCGTCTCGGGAATTTCAACAGTAAAAACAAAAGCAAATACCTGCAATATATTGAATGCCTTTACAGCAGACGATAAAAAAATGTTACAGGGTGTTGTAGTTAAATAACGAGTAAGAAGGTGTCTGCCTTAAAAGGTACGCAATAATAATAATAATAATAACAATAATAATAATAATAATAATAATAATAATAATAAGAAGAAGAAGAAGAAGAAGAAGTTATGTAGCTTATGCATTGTCACGTTCACACAAGAATCTTAGTGGTTGTCACCTGTGTCAAGTGAGAATAATCTCCAGCAGCTTTCTCAGGAGTCTTTCCAGCCCCAGTAATGGTGAAAATAACCGTTTCCAAGCAGGAAACATTCAGTATTCATTGTCTGAAGAGGTGCCATTTCTGTGGGTTCAAATTTATCAAATCTGTTCATGAGAAAAGGTTTTTTCCAGGAAATTAAACTTTTCAGTAATTTTTTTTTCGTATTGATGCGGTTTCTTTCCAAGCCTTCTGCTTAAGGGGGTGTGGAAAGTCAGCATCTTGATCCTTATTTTCACTTCTAGTAATATGTGCTTCTTCTTGTGTCGCTTTTCATTGTTTGTCATCATTCTTTCTCTATTACATCGGATCTTCTTTGTAAATAAATTTGTAAAAGACACCAGACAATAGAAACCCTGTTTATACTGCTTTCAACGTGATTTTTTCCCTGCTGCCCCGACAATTATGAATTTAAGCGCGCCACTAGACAGTCATCTAGGCACCACCCTTATACTGTTGAAATAACTAAATGCAACCGCCACATCTACTCCAAAAGTTTCTTTTTCCCGCCTGTGGAACTCCCTCTCGTTTACTTGCTTCCCTGATAATTACAAATCTTCAAAAATTTAAATGCAATATCTATCGCCATCTTTTTTCTTCCTGAATCCCGTTCGTCCTTTGTCCTTTTCTCAGTCCTCCTTTTATTTTATTTTTTTTTTTAAGCGTTTCACCCCAAGCAAGGCGGGAAGCCACTAAGACGCAAGGGGTTACAGAAAATTTGGAGCAAGATCAGATAGGAGTGATAGAAGAAAGAATGAGGAGAAGGGTAGTGGATAGATCAAGGCAACTGGAGATGTCGATTGACATTACATTTGAATAGTTGGAGATTATAGCTGTTAGGGAAACAGTAATTGGGAAGGGCGTTCCACTGGCGAGAGGTGCGAGGTATGAAGCTACTGGAGTAGAAGAGACGGCTACATTTAGGAGTTTCGACAGTGAAAGGGTGAGAGTGGGACGCCAGCCTCGTAGGGTGCTTGAACTCATGAAGTCTGGGAACCAGCGAATGCAGCTCCTCGGAGCAGTTACCATGAAAGTATTTGTAAAAAAGACAGAGGGAGGCGACGGCGCGTCTGTGAGTAAGTGTCTGTAGACGAGATGCCAGATTATGCAATTATATTGCATATCCGCCTCTGGAGCCTCCATTTCTTTCTGTCACTTTCACTCCCTGTATCCCCTCTGTGTACTAGTGGTATTCCTGCCTTGCTTGGGGTGAAATGATTTTAAAAACATAAAGACGAAGAATATATGATTTTAATTACATATCTTTAGCTTCATAAATACTGTACTTTATCACACGCCTTTTAATTACTGACATAAATCATGTAAATAAATGTTATCGCAATGCTATTGTAAATATCGCTTAAATTTCAGTCTGTTTTATTATGTCCTCAGTTAGGACAGGAAATATATAAATACACAATGACAATCATTATATGGTTTGATCATTATTATCATTTTCGTTTTCCTGTCAGCAATACCGAGTGTTGTTGTTTATCAGTGGACTCAAATGATGATAAGTCTCCTCGGATCTAAAGCAACTAAATTCAATATCCATATCATCTTAATCGCTTCAGTTCTGCATCAGATTTCGTCTTATGGCCATATCACGTCAAAACGCCGGTTCTCGTACGATCACCGAAGTTAAACAACGTCGAGCTTGTCATTATCTAGATGGGTGACCACTTGGGAACACCAGGTGATGTAAACTTGGATGTGTGGTTGGTATAATGGAAAACGGCTCGGAATTATTAATCGGAGTGCCGAGTTCCAATTCCAGCTGGGTTCGTTACGAACAAATACCCTTGGGAAAGAATCCACCTCTTCTCCCTCCAGCTATGGGTTAATTAGTAAGATTTGTATCACGAAATCCGTATAAAAAATCTAAAAAAAATGTTCTTACTATCTAAAAATATTTCCTGGTTTTGAATAATCTGCAAAGGTTTGACAATCCGTAGAAAATCAATCAATTAATCATTTTCTGTATCAAAAATATTTCTTGTGCTTTTTTAGAATTCATATATGAAAATTTTTTCCAAATTGTATATTTGATGATATAGATGATTTCATTTGTAACATTTGTTTGACCAAGTCAATTTTAAGGAGCTTGCTGATGATGACTTTAGGGGAAAAATCACTTGAAACGTCACGGCGCAGGACGTTTGCTAGCTGTGTTGAAAGATTGTATCCTGGAAAACGTCTCAGAATTGGAAATCGGACAGAGCTAAGTTCCAATTCCAGTCGGGTTTGTTATATTCACTTTCACGTAGATGCCCATGGAATGGGTATAAATTCACTTCTTCGCCAGCTATAGGATAATTATGAGTACTTGTGTCAGTAAATCATTATTATCAAAAAAAAAATTGATAATCGGAAAATATTTTCTGGCTTTAAATAACCTACAAAGCCTGTCTATATTTCTGAGATGAGGTATTATGTACATTATTTACATTATTCAGACTATTGTCCTCATCTTAAGTCGCCATATTTATTACAACGTTTCGGCCGCTGGCGTGTCTCCTCTTTATATTTCTTTCTGCGGTATAAAGAAATATAAAGGGGAGACAGGACGCCCCACTTAAGGTAAGGCTTCAAGAACACCAGAAAGCTATAACACGAGGGGAAGTGGAAAAATCAGGCATGGCTGACAACATATGAAGAGAGAATGGAGATCACCGCCCTCTGTGGGATCAGGTTGAGATCATAGACAAGGAACACCATTAGAAAATTCGTAAATTTAAGGAATCAGCGTACATGCTAGGCTACAAATATCTCCTGAGCCAACCAAGCATAGAAATGAATACAATATGGGAACCAGTAATAAGAAGTGCCAGAGAAAAGCGATAATAACAATAAAAGTTGCAATATGAGCTCTGGTAATAATAACAGCAAAAAAATTGCAATATGAGCACTGGTAAAAATGGTTGCTGAAGACATTAGGTTTATAATACCCAGAAATTCATACACATATGTCCTCAGTGGATAAAGGCGTTGGTTAGGTCCAGTGACAGGACCCAATGAGTGTGAGTTCAATACCCGGTTAAGTGGAGAATTTTCAGAAGGAAATTAACAGGAGATAACTGATAACTGACATCCATTAAAACATGGCACGTGGAACTAGATCAGTCTACCCCAGTGAGCGAAATAAAGGGTTAAGTTCGACATTCCAACTACCTGAAGAAGAACGGAGCGTACAACGGCCGAAACGTTGTAATAAATATGGCGACAAAAATGAGTACAATAGTCCGAATAATGTAAATAATGTACCTACAAAGCCGTAGAAAAGAAATCAGTTAAATACATCAGATGTCAATTTTTCACAAACTTTTCAATTCTGTTCGTTAATGATTACCGCCATAACTTTGAATTTGCATTCATTATGGTTACCAGCCTTTTTATTCTTTTCATATTCATCCATTATCCCGTTGTGACGGCCACAAAAATCGTTTACAAAAATTAAGTCTGGTCTCCTGACCTGGAGAATGGGGTTAGTCAATATGTTAATGTGTTAATCTCATTTTTTTAGCCGTCTCTCCTTTTATGTGTCTACTAGCGTTGCCCGTGCTTGATTCAAAAACCGTACGATTCATACAGCAATCGCTATCACTTGACTTAAAATATTTTTGCTCTTCCTTGCCTTTAAAGGAGTGCCCTTTGCCGTGTTGATGTTGCTACATGCCTTACTTCTTGCCTATCTCACACTGCCAATTTTTTCGAATCTCTATACTAAACATTATATCTGTTACGAAAAAAGAACTAAACAAAATGAACACAAAATGATCAGCTTTAAAAAAGGACTCGTAACTGGAAAAACCGAATGAAAAAAGAATGTTAACAACAATAATATTTTCACACCAAACCCAGTTCTGCGGAATCAGAATCATCGTTGAGTTTGAGCAAGCGAATGAGCCATGCAGATGTAAGTTTTTCCCACTTGTGACGAATGCAGCTATCGATTTTTTTTTGCATGCTAGCATGCTAGTTAACATTCGTGTCAGTCAGCTGTTGGCTCTAACGCTGGCCAATAGAATCTTCCTGCTTCTTCGTGACAGCCAGCTATATGCTCTCACTCTGGCCAGTAGAAAATGGCCGCAAACTATATGAAAACTTCCGAAGAGGCATGAAAAATTCGATTATTTCCACTATCGATGGGAATTGAGAAATGTGCATGTAAATTTTGGTGCAAATCCGTCGAAAATTGCGGCCGTGCATTCGTTACACACACACGCACGTACACATAGACACACACATCCTGCCTTTTATAGATAGAGATAATTTCTATGTATGTACTTAAATCATTTGTACAGTTCCCAGTCAATTACACTTCCTATCCAGTCATGTTTGCCTTTTCAATCAGTTTATTGCATTCATTTCGGGACATAGGCGATTATAACTCTCCACAACTTCTCATATCTCGTTCGGCTCCTAGCAGTTTTCTCCCTTTGCTTAGCCCTCGTCATCGTCATCCATTTAGACAAGGTCGTCAGGTAAATGGCTCGCTACCTTCTCCTTTCTCTCTTCTCCTCAATATGCAATGTGAGAGTTAAGTTTTCCAAGCCCGCTTTCCTCATTATGTGTTCAAGGAATTTTAGCGATCTTTTCCTCGTTCTGAGTAGAAATGTTCTTTCTGTTGCCTTTTCTTTAAGACTTCTTAGTTACTTGCTCGCCGTGTCCATGGAATTCTCAGGATCCTTCTGTAGAACTATAATTCTGCTGCCTCTAGTTTTTTCTTACCCGTGGGGAGTTTTGCTTTCTCAACATAAACGACGTTTATTATTTTGTTTGGTTTTAATAATGGGTATTTTAATGGGTTACTTATTAAGGGGGAAATTAATGGGGATATTATTAATGGTTAATTTTTTAATGAGTACTTTGACCTCATTCCTTCCAATGTCACTATTTTAAAGAATCTGATTTTAATTTAAACAAAACTTATGAGACTTGAATAGTATCCACTCAAAGGAAGAAATTGACACGCATCAAATCATAGCATCGTGACAAGGTTTGGCAGAGTTCTGGAAAATGGTAAAGACTTTTAGTCCCTTACACTTTATTGATGATGATTTGTATGGGATTGTAAATAATTAAATAAAAAATGGCTGACAATCTTTTTTTTCTTTTTTTTTGACAAACGGTGGGGTGGTTTATTCAAAGATGGAAGAATGGGAAAAAATAATAATTGTATTAAGCTACGCGTTTTGGATCGATAAATACAGCGGTAGAAATCTGACTTGAAAGTTCCCCTTCAGCTTGAATTAGGAAAAACCATTTCTTGGCTTCATGGCTACAGTTTGTATGACAATATTCAATACGTGAAAGTCCCTCAAAATGAACTAAAGACGACCAGTAAAAAAAAGTCTGTTAAACCAAATATTAATCTAGTAACATAATAATTTTAAACACGTATTACTTGGCAAATATTCATCTAGTAACATAATAATTTTAAACACGTATTACTTGGTAAATATTAATCTAGTAACATAATAATTTTAAATACGTATTACTTGGCAAATATTCATCTAGTAACATAATAATTTAAAACATGTATTACTTGGCAAGTTTAATTTTAAAAGTAATAAAAGGTGATCACTGTACAAAGAATATATATATATATATATATATATATATATATATATATATATATTGTGTCTCTGTATGTGCGTAGAGAGAAAAAGACAGACAGACAGTGACAGAGACAGCAAATTCCTGTTTCACACTTTAATACGATCGTCAGACATGGTCTGAAGATCGCAATGAAGCATGAAATTGACTGTTATATCCATAAAAGTGAAAGCCTTATCCCTTATATAAAATAGCGCAATATTTAAAGTATATGTTTATACATTATTTTTTAGAATTTTTCAAAATGATTAGTGTACACTACCAACACCTTCACAGCCAAACATCTCTCTTTTTCCCATATATATATATATATATATATATATATATATATATATATATATATATATATATATATCAAGGTAAAGCTTAACACATCACGAAAATGCGGTAATAAATCATGATTTATTTCGACCAGTAAGTCTCATCAGACTGAAGATATAAATGGTATAAATTTAAAAATAACAGCTTAAATTTATCCAGAAAAAAAATCTTAAAAGAAAAGAATAATAACAGGAAAAGGAAATAGGAATTCGGGGCGTATGACCCAGAAAATCGATTTTCAGGGTGATGGAAGCCATAAGCCATTTATAAATGTGGTGAGAAATATATTAACATAAAGACATATAATATAAGTGTGGTGAGAACTATATTAACATAAAGACATATGTATATATACATACACACACACACACACACACACACACACACATATATGTGTGTGTGTGCATACACTCATACAAACGCACATATATAACCGCTCATCAGGCACGAAATATTACTCATAATCTAAAAATATATTAATATACTGGGTCTCTCAGTAGGAACAGTAAATTAAACGCAGATTCAAGGCTCAAATTTAAAATAAGTTAAATATTATATTGGTTTTAAATAAAGAAAATAGTGGGTAGGTGGTAATGGAAAATAATCATTATTTTCCATTCAACATTATGATAAGACCCCACCAGTGTTGAAACAAATTTGCAACTTTGTAGTGATCTTATAACATGTATATGTTATAAATTCGAATATATACATATATATATATATATATATATATATATATATATATATAATTAATACAAAGTT